GGCTCATTTTAAGGAGGTTGTAGAGTTTGTCGAGCTTCATCACTTGGTATGTTGTTTCGCTCACAATTTCAGTTTTCAAGCGAGTTATCAGCCGACCCGGATTCAGCTCTTCGGCAAGTGTGGGTGAAAGTTATTCAAAGTTCTATTTAATGTCAAATATTTTCTCGGAAGCGCGAATTTTCTTGCGCTTGTCCATGTGTTCCTGAAAAAGAAAGATAGTATTTTCTGAGCCCCTCTCTCCATACCCACTAGTACTTGGCCCAATTTTCCCTATAAAAAATTTTACGAAAAATGTGTTCAATTAGGATATCTCCTCTTCCTCGGCACTCGCTGCTGCTGCTGCTGCCGCTGCGGTCCTCTCACCTCCAGTGGTTTCGGAATTCTCGTACACGCGCGAACGTCTTCTCGAACTGGCCCCAACCGGATCGATAATGCACGATGCGTTGCGCAATCAGGCATTTTTCACCGAGAATATTATATCGCCCGTCTCGAATACTCCGCCTACTGAACTCGAACAGGTAGGAAATTATAGTTGAATTTTTAGAGTAAGAAATAGTGTTCAGTAACAATATTAGTTTTTGATAAATGGCCGAAGAAACGTATGGAGGGAGAGGACACAGAGCCTTCTGATGCTCTTTTGTTGTTCGCACCCACCTCTTCACTTATCTTTAGTTCTGATTTGTTTCTGGCAATATATAGTTCTCTGACTCTCTCTCTCTCTATCGATAATAACAAAGGCCTTTTTCAGAAACTTCAACATAATATCAATTCTTCGAAAGCGATGTCTCTCCTTTCTCACGCTGATAGAGCTTCCATTGCCGCCGGAGCTGCTTATGGGAGTGGATATGGAGGGGGAATCGGCTCTCCTTCTATTCAAAACGGACAATCAACGACTAACCGCTGGACTCCAAAGTCTTCATGGAGTAAGATCTTTTGACTCCGATTTTAAAAAAAGACTTTAAAAGCTTCAGGTAAGACTCCCGAACGTTCTGTTGGAGGAGCAACACGTGCAGGAAGTACTGTTGGTCGCGCTTCCGGAACATTTTTCGCGGGCCGTGGAGGTACGAGAACTGGCACGGAGAATGGATACGGTGGACCCATTAATGGATCACCGGCTGGTTCGACAGACGAAGCGATCGGCACATATCAGTCAAAGTTCAATAGCGTTCGTAGAGGAGGAGGCGTAGGAAGCGTTGGTCGTGGTGGTAGCACGACTGGCGCATCTTTCAACACGAGAGCCGATGCTTTGTACAACCCGAACGACCCAACCGACCGTCCAAAGGCTGTGAACGTAGCTGCTACTCGTAGTGAAAGCGATGACGAAGAAGAAGAAGGTTGGTCAAAGGTGGGAGCAACTAGCCGATCTTCTACAAACACCGCTCCCTCTTCGTCGGATCGCCCTGCTTGGGCTCGCTCTGAATCGTGGATTCAACGGACCCAACAACAACAACAGCAACAAAACAGCCAACAACCTCCATCTACCGCTCAATGGAATAATCGGGACTCTGGTTCTGATTCCGCTGTGTGGAGAGATCGAAACCAGATGGTGGCCGCGGTGAAAAAGAATTCTGGAGAGAATCCGTCACCACCATTACAGTCTCAACAGAACTCATCTGCTCCGACATCTGCGCAACCGCGAGAAGAATCTCAGAATTCGGATCTATCACATCTGTCATCTTATCAGCCTGATGCTTCAACTTGGTCCAACAGCAATATGGGTGGCGGAATGGGTGTATTTTTCCAACCCAATTTATCAGGCGGCTCAACTCCATCTTCCGCCAGTGGACCTGCTCCAGTGGTGAAAGAAGAACCTGTTGAATTCTACTACATGGATCCCACGGAAACCCGTCGTGGACCGTTCCATAAAGATCAGATGACAGTGTGGTTCAAAGCGGGTTACTTTACCGATGAAACTTTGAGAGTTCAACGAGGTGAAAAGGGAGAGTACAAGACTATTGGTGAGTTATAGCTAAGCCATAGGATCCATAGCTCATAAGATTATTTCCAGGTGAACTAAAGAAGATTCACGGAGCCACTACGCCGTTTGAGTATCCTGAAGACGTCGAAAAACCACACGTGCCGATTCCTCCACCTACAAGTGTTGCTAGCATTCCATCGTACCCATCTACTACGAATCCAATGTTCCCTTCTGCACCATACGGTGGAATGAATATGTGGTCGAGTATGGTACAGCCAAACGATATGATCTCATTGATGCAGTCAACATTTGAGCAGCAAATTCTTGCTGAACGTCAAAGACTCGCTGAGGAGCATAACCGTCGAATGCAAGAAGAAGCTGAAAAGATGGCGAAATTCCACGAAGCAATGTATCGACAGCTCTCACTTCAGCAGGAAATGTCACAGCAACAAATCAGAGAACAGGAGCTGGCACTTCAGAGACACCGTGAAGAGCTGGAAAAGCGGGACGCTGAATTGAAACGAGAAGCGTTGGCACGGCAACAGCAGATTGAGATGGAAGCACGCGAAGTGGAGCAACGTAGAGCTGCGATCGAAGCTGAAGCCCTCCGAAAGAAGGAAAGCGAAGAGCATGCCAGAAGAGTGTTCGAAGAAAAACAGAGAGAAGCTGCCGCTGCAAAGAAATTGGCTGAACAGAGAAGTCGACAGGCTCAAGAAGCTGCTGACAGAGAAAACAACCGTCTAGCAGAAGAGGCCAAAAGAGCGGCGGAGGTGATCCAGCGAATTCAACGTGGAGATGAATTGAAACAGAAGGCAGCAGAAGAGGAGAAGAAGCGAATTGCGGAAAATGAGAGGATCGCACGTGAAGCTGCCAAACAAGCTCAGCTTGATGCAATTTGGGCATCGCCGAAGGCACCGGTAGTTAGCACATCTTCCAACCCGGTTACCACTGGAGTTCCAAAGCAAGTGTCTCCAAGCGGTAGCGATGATTCCGAGGGATGGACCGCAATTACCAAGGAAGTTAAGCATACAAAGCCAGCTCCATGGGCTGCCAAGACAACTGAAGCCCCCCAGAAGAGCGAGAAAACTTTGATGGAAATTCAGCTCGAGGAAGAACGCAAAATGAAGGCCGAGCAAGAACGAAACGCTAAGCAGAAGGCAAAAGAACAGTCTTCGACTGCTGCAACTACAGTCATTTCTCCAGAAAAGAGTGGTGGCTTGTGGGGAGCTACGAAGACTTGGGCTGCTCCAGAAGCTAATAACTCCAAGGCTTATGTATCACCATTCTTGGATGGCCCATCTCTCGAAGCTGCGAACAAGGTTCGTTCGAAAAAGGCAGCTAATTATAAGAAGTGACCAAAATTCGTTACAGATGGCTCTGCAAAAGAAGAGCTCTCAATCAAAGATCGTGGTAACCAAGCCAGCTGCAGCCAAACCAGCGCCAGCACCAGCAAAAGCAAAAGCTGCAGCTCAACCACCAGCCGAGAAGACGAAAAAGAGCAAAGAGCAAGTGGCTTCTGATGCATTCCAGGATTGGTTCATCCAGAAGTTCCGGACATTCTCGACCCAACTGGACGCTCCCACATTGTATGCATGCATATTGACTTTGGAGAATCCAAACGAGGTGAGTAGATTGTTTTAACTTTTCTCTGTTTATTTATTTGCAAGGGGAATTGTCAGAAATATTTTCAAAGTTATCCATATCATCTGAAAACCATCCTTTTCGTAATTCTCTCTACCCATCAATGACAGCTTTCAGTGAATTGAAATCCTTTAACATGAGCCCAAAAGTGTATATACTCAAAGTACATTTTTGAATGTCGCAGAAGCAGCGAGCCGTCGTCCGTCCCCTATGTTCACCTTTTCCCCTCCTTCCTGCACTTCTGACTATATACTTTTTCTATTTTTAGACTCTTTCTCCTCATTTTCTCCTCGAAATTTCAGAAGAGAGTGCATAGAGAAAAAAGTTATACAGCTCTTCATAACAACAATCACATGTGCTTATTCATAATCTGAATATTTAAAAATATGTATAGATGATATGACTAATCGAAGAGATCACGAGAGAGAGAGAGAGAGAGAGAGCTCTCTGAAAAAATATAAATAGAGTTCCTCGCTCTTTCTCACGATATTCAACACGAGCTATACGAATTAGCAATGTGTCATTGTTGTTATGAAATGGAGAGAGAAAGGAGTGATTACCTGATGCCAGAGTCTTGCTATTTTTATTCGTCTAGACATGTCCAGTAGCCTCAAAGTGCTCCGAATTTTATTTCCTTTTTTTTTAGTTATTTCAGAGATCCTTTTTTGGGTCCGGATGTGTGTGTTAACGCACTTCTAGTGATCGAGTATCCCGGTTTAGTACATTTTGAGAATCTTTTTGAAGAGGTCTTTAGTCCAAAATCAAAAATGATAGAATTCCCGTACTTGGCAAACTGGCAAAAATGCTTTATTAGTCATCTGAAGAAATAGAAGACATGTTCGTTAGTTAGTTGAGCCAATCTCTCTTTCGTACCAGTACCCCTGCCTGCTAGAAGTCAGTTTTCTTCTTCTTCACACTCCCAACAAAATCTAGATAAATCTCTTCCCGTTTCCCTCTTCATCAACAAAAAAGGGGCGGCGCAGGAAGAAGGTCCAAAATAAGGGAAGGACTCTTCGCCAACAGCCGCTTGTTTTCGATGGATGCCAACAAACGCACACACTTCAACCAGTAGCAGTAGCAGTTAGTAGTGTATTCGTTGTCGCTGTTGTTGTGCTTCTTCTGTTTTTCTGCTATATCCTCAAATTTTCTCTGCAAGAATCCATCCATATACAAAACATAATTCTTCTTCTCGGCAGTTCGGTTTGCTGCTATATAGCCAATGCCTTTTTCATTTATTGGTTCTCTCCCTCTCTCCCTCGTCTCCTTCGTCGTCGTTTTGTCTATTTTTGGATTCCCTTCTTTGCAAACAAAAGTCTTCCGCAACGGGAAATGGATGCCATTCGCACCACCAACAATTTCATTTTCGCCTCATTCGTTTCTAGCACTTTTGAACACTTTGCTACTGGTAATTGATTCTTGGAAAATAAGTGACTACATAGTTGATTTTCGAGTTATTTTTCTCAGAATTTGATGCACAATTCAACGAAACGCAGATTAGTGTCGGGATAATCTGCTATCCCGAAAACTTGCTCTTCTCAACGAAGTGTGTTTTCTTTCATTCTCTCCATTTTCAATGAAAACCTCTTTCCAGGATCTTCTCTTTCGTGATTTTCCAGGAAATTCAATTTTTTCGTGTTTAATAATTCCTTCGTCTTAATCACCACTTGAAACTTAAACGGCGATTGAAATTGAACAATTTTTGGTTCTATTACATAGTAGCTAAAATTGATTTTTTGTTTCTATCACATCATAATTGACTTCCTCCATTATTCACACTGTCATCATCACTTAGTTTCGAAACTCGCCTATTTTGGGTCATTCAGAGAGACCAAACCTTTCTTTGATACGCGTTCTATTTTGGATTCTGTCAGCTTATCACTGAAAACGAAGGAATGGTTATCAGTTGGATATTTTTAGACTTCGTTTGACACTATCAAAATTAGTATATTAGCAGCGTATTCTGGTTAAAAACATGAAGCTGTAGACGAAAAATACCGGTGGCTGTGGCCGACGGTCCCACAACGACAACTACCGTAGCCTAAAATATTTTAATCTTCAGGATTTATTTTCTCGTTTTTTCACTGCTTTTAGCCGTCGAGTTTTCTGTCGTTTTTCCCCAAACCAAAATGAAAATTTTGATAGTAACTGAAAACGAAAATCAAGAAAATAAATCTGGAAAATCAAATTTTTATAATTACGGTAGTTGTCGCTGTGGGACTTTTGGCCGCGGCCACCGACGTTTCTCTTCCGCAGCTCCGATTTTTTACCGAAAAAATACACTGGCTTTCGTTTCACCCAGCGTTTTGTTCGAATCTTCCTAATTCATGCTGATTGTCAATTTATGTTTATTTTTCAGGTCGAGGACATCGTCATGTCGTATTTGGACGAATCGAAAGCCGTCAAGGAGTTTGTTCGCGAGTTCCTCAAGCGCCGTATCGCAATGCGTGCTGCTGGTGGTGCGGCTCATCCAGATGCCGATGACCTAACCTCTGCTCGTGCTGCCGCTGCTGCTCCATCGGACTCCAACTCTGGATCTAACTCGAATTCTGGAAACGGGCAAGGCAAGAAGAAGAAGAAGGTAATCGATCAAATGATAAAGAGAAACCTTAGCAAAAATTTTCTTTTTCCAGACCCAAAAACAAGTTCTCGATGGAAACATCCTCGGCTTCCGTGGTACCGCCGCTTCTGATCGTCTCAACAAGGGAGAAATCGATGCGATTCCAACGGCTCCAGTCAACCCATCACGTCGTTAACTCGTTTATCTCATACCCTTCTTTTTTTCGTAGTTCCCATATATATTCTTTTCTATTTATATTTGAAAAATGTCAAAATTACTGAATCATAGCGTTCTTTTTTTCAGTTCTTTTGTCATTTTCTCCTTCTTCTTGGGTCACAATCTTTTTCTCTCAATCTCTAAAATGCGTGTAGCTCGTCCCACCACTTCGATTTCCTTCTTTCATCTTTATATTCAGACTCTTCAAATCAGTTTTCTACAACTTCCTCTTCTCAATCATAATTCCATGATCCCATTTTTTATTTCCAGATAATACCTGTCCCCCATTAATGATAATGGAATTTGTTGGTTGGAAGAGTCATTGAGAAGTATAAAGTTCCAACCAATTCATTCCATAATCATTAACCCCGTTGTTGTCTTTTTTCTTTGGTTATTTTTTTCCGATGTTTTCCGTTCCTAATTTCCTGAGAATTCCCTATCCCAGATTATTTTCTTTGGATTTTTTTTTCATGTTATCATTTATTCAACACTTCCCCCCCCCCCCCCTGTTTCCCCGTGTTTACCTCTCCGTCTTTAGTCTGTCCTGTCCCCGTTTTTTTCTCTCTGCCCATCCTTATATTTTTTGTATCTCTCACCCCCTTTGGATTTTCAAAGTTTTCCTCAAAACCTTGAGATGTCTTTTAATGGCGGTGTAGATTTATGAATTGTTGGCGTTTTAGTAACCATTAGATCGATAGAACCCATTTATTAAATTAAAACTTCGTTTCAGGAGCTACTCGTTTTCTCCCGCTCACCCTCGCCAGAAACGGGAAGGGAATATTGGTCAATGTTACAAAAATGGCAACAAATAGGTAGAATCGAGACCACTCGGCATGAGAATTCGTCGGACAAATGACGCCAATGACGATGGGAAGAATGAACGCGGACACCCAGGAGCTCATTGATATCACCGCCATTATCAGTGCCAAATGTTTTTCAGCGACAATTTGAGCGCATTTCACCATTCCGATCACATTCAGGCCTGCTAGTACGACCGAAAATGTGTACGCCACCTGAGCAATGATGACGTGTGATGTCTGAATAATAGCTGTTGGCCTAAAGCGAATTAGTTTTAGTCTTACAAATGACATTACTAAATATCCGATGGCCATTGCGACCTGAGGAACAAAAGCGAACATTATTAAACGAATCTGAAATAGCGTGGTAAATGATGAGATTACTGATGTTCAAAACTAACTCTTTCCGTAATATGAGCCAATTTATCTGTAATTGGTCCGGCTGCAAACTTGACAATTGCAGCGAAAAAGTATGGAATGGCATTCGAATAACCCGTTTCTCGAATATTCAGGCCCAAAACCTTAAACAAAGGCATAAAAACGTTATTTATTACTGTGGTATAAAATTCGATGGTGGGCGGAGCTTAAAGGCGCATTTAAAGGAACATGTATTTTTCGTAATTATTTTCTGTTTTTTTTCTTTGGATCGTTCGATTTTTCTTTTAATTTCATCGATTTCGAATTATTTTCTAATTGAAAAATCGCAGAAAGCACAATAAAAATTACCGAAAAAGCGATAAAAAGACCAGAAAATTTTCAAGAAAACACATGCGCCTTGAAGGATTTTGCTGCAGGACCTAAGCTCCGCAGCGTATTTCAAAAAAGTGGCCAAACCTTATTCAAATAAATGGGACCGTAGTTATTGAGACAGATAACTGAAGCACTTCCTCCGATTATCTGAAAATTTATAAATTTCAAGCTTATTCCATATTGGGCATTCTCACAGCCAAAGTAATCTCGAAAACTTCCCAATTTGTGAAAATCTGACTGTATTTCACTTGAAGTTGTGTCTTAATTGTCGAAGATGTAATAATCTTCCCGTCACGAATTCTTCGAAGCTCTTTTTTGCCGACATGTCTGAAAACGTAATTTTAGAATGATAGGATGCCGATGACTCACTTATGCTTATCCGGCGCATCATTGTAATACCAATAGAACACTATATACAAAACTACAGTAATCCCTCCAAAAATATAATAAATAGATCTCCATCCAAGTGAAGACTCGCAAAGAAAACCAGCTGTTGGCATCGTCACAATGTTACTAATCTGAAACGCCGATGACAAAAATGCCACGAACGTTCCGATCTCCGTAATCGGACTCCATGACTCGGAAATTGTTCCGATTGAGGAATACAAAACAGATGCACCAACTCCTTGAAAGAATCTAGCAATCAACACTGGAATCAATCCATATTCCACTGCCAACGGCGTCAGAATCGTTCCTGCAGCGGACAACAGTCCGTATACAGTAAGAACTCGTCTGGAATAATTAAATTCGTATGATTTTTATGTACAGTATCGGTCAGTAAGACGTATCTTTCAGTTGATTTTTTTTAAATTTAGGAATCTCATGATCTCAAACTCCGAACTTTTCGAAATTCAGAAATTCGGAAATTCAGAAACTCAGAAATTCTGAAATTCCGAAAGTCAAAGATTTTCCGAAATTCAGAGATTTTCCGAAATTCAAAGACCTCCCGAACGGCTTAACTTGAATCCATATATCTCGGTTTATGTGAAAGATATTAAAAAGTAATCAACTGACAAAATATTTTTTATATTATGCTTAACATTTTGTTAGTTGACCGCTTTTTGATATCTTTTACAGAAACCAAGATGTATCAGCTCAAAGTTAGCGTTTGAGTGACCCTCATATTGACCGATACTGTATGCACATCTTCCCATTTGTATAAGTACCGTATTCCATATCTGGCAATGAGTGTCACTGCTGGAATTGTTCCGAATATTGCTCCAACTGCGGCGGCAGAGAACGTCAACGAAATATCGGATGATTTTTCTAGCCAGTCTGAAAACTACAACCTCAAAGTGACTTTCAAAAGTGGTCTCCTAACGTGTTCTGTTCGTAAATGTTGTCTTCTGCTCACTGATGACGTCGTCCATGCAAATGACAGTGAAATTCATCAGAATCATGTTGGCGTTTGTGCATGTGATACAGACCAGTCTGGAATTCCCTCGTAAATAGTGAGAAATCTATGATTCTTTGATTTCTTGGTTTCGTTGTTTCATGTGATTTAAAGAGTCATTTTGAGATAGAAGGTACTAGAAGAACATCAAAGTTTTCAGAAATCATTTTTCAGGTTTTTAAAAATTTTGTTTTTCCCAGATTTCAACAATAATAAAATACTTTGCACGTTTCAATGGAAAATACTGTAAACACTCCAATAGAAGGCCATCAAAACCCCTCAACTTTGAGCTTATTTATCTCGGTTCCTGTGAAAGATATCATGAAGCGGACAATTGTCAAAATGTTTATCATAATATCAATATTTTGTCAGTTTAATTCTTTTTGATATCTTTTACAAGAACCGAGATATGCGGGCTCAAAGTTATTGGCTTTTTTGTATACCGAAAGATTGGGATTTTGATTTTTCAAAATTTCTAAATGTTTTTATCTTTTTTTTGAATAATAGAAGCGTACAAGTATTAAGAAGTTTTAAATTTCTAAACTTTGAAACCTAAAATTTGGGAATATAAGGATCTTCGAACTCCAGAACTCACAAGGGAATGTCGTTCAGAAAGCTCTTCAGAATTTTCTTTAAATTGACTCATTTATAGAATCGAGTATGGGCTTTTACGTAATAATAGTCTCTACCTGCAAAAATCGCTGAAACTCGAGAAAAATCAATCTGAAATTATAGCATTTCCACCAGTCTCATCGCCTCCCTTCTCCTCCCCTTTCTTCACTGCGTTGCGTACAAGAGTAAAACATGTCTCGGTAGCCTAGTGCTATAGCAGGGAGGACCACGAATGCAGGTTCGGGCCCTCGTTCGTTTATTTTTATTTTTCTTATTTTTTCAAACTTAAAAAACCGTTTCCGAAAAGTTTGGCAAATGGGAAACACTTTTCTGAACATTTCCTATGATCTGATTTTCGAAAAATTTCAAAAAAATTTTTTTTTTTAAATCACCATGGAGTCTACCACACTTTTTTCATGAATTTTAAAAATTTATTCAGAAGTGCGAAAAAAGATTTCAAACGTTCAGAAGGGATAAAAACATCATTCTCACAAAATTTGGTAGCCCGATTTGGTCTATGAGCCCTGATAATTCTCAAAATATGATTATTGCTCAAATTTTCAAAAGTCGTAATTACTCAAATATTGCTTAAAATCGACTGGAAAGTACAAAAAAAATGAAAATTTCATCAGTGCGTGATTTAAATAAAGTTCCACTTCAAAAAGAGCAAAACGGACCAATTTCTGGAGCCAAAAGTCTCTGTTTGTGTGCTATATGATACCAAATTTTGTGAGAATGATGTTTTTATCCCTTTCAAAAATTGAGAAATTGAGAAATTGAGAAATTGAGAAATTCAGAAATTCAGAAATTCAGAAATTCAGAATTCTGTTATTTTCTCTTATTTTGCGACGAAATTTATGTATGTGAACCTATAATTAGACAGATAACGTCATTTTAATACACAGCTAATATAATTACACCAATTGACCGGAATTCTTCTAGTTTACGCTTCGAAGCGCTTTGTTTAATAATTCAAGATCTATATTCAAACCAGTGACTCACCCAATGAACAAAATCAAAAATCGAGTTTTGCCCCAACACATCCATGATGTTTCTGGTCCCTTTTCCTGGTTTTCTAGGTTTACCTGAAAATTGATTCTTTGTATTTTCAAACACTGAAAAATCTGCATATTCACCTCAAAATCGGTTTGTTTATAGTTGAAACTCATGGTGTCTGGAATGGAAGGAACAAACCGGTTTCTTCGAAATTCCAGGTGAAAAAGGGAGGATGCTGAAATTCAGGGTGTCTTCAAACAAAAGAGAACACTTCAGACGCGGTAGATGATAATGATAATGATGATAGTGACAACGGCAAATGACGGATAGATGAATGATAAAGGGAAGTGGTTGGGTACGTTCTGAGAACTAGATGTTACCTAAATCTGTCAAGTGATATGAAAAATGGAAAGGTGTGACACTCGTTTTAAAAGATCAAGTGATACTGGTCACTGTTGCAATTTTCATTTTGATGGTATGATAAGGACGAGATGATGATGAGAATTCTAATGTTGGAGAATTTCAGAATCTCAACGTCAACAGACGAGAAGAGAATGATCGATTGGGTGTTGACCGTTGAAAGTTGAAAAAAAGAAAAGGCAAGAACATTAAAGTGTTCAGCAAACGGGGTACACTTTGAGAACGGACTTTTTATCGAGTGAAAATGCTAGAAAAGTTGTATACTTTTGTTTTATTACACCGAAAAATCAAAAAAAAATTTAATCCTCGGAAAACGCAGTTGAACGTTGAAATTTTTCTCTAAAATACATGTTTGTAGTTTACAACATTTTGAAAACTACAGTAGTTATTGAGATACAGGGACTCAAAGGTTTTGTATTTTTTCAGCTTAAAGGGGGACTCCGAGCGGAAACTTTCAGGGTTTTTTGCATTGGAATGGTCCCAAAGTTATGGGTTTTTTTTAAAAATTTTATTTCTGAAAAATTCGGAAAAATCCGAAATTCTCGAAAAATGCAGTTGAATGTGAAAACTTTGCTGAAAAAGGTGGCAGAAAGGGACGAGGATTTAAATTCCCGCACAGTGAGAAACTTAGCCCACGGCGGCGGGCCGCCTTTTTACAGAGCAATTTTCCTGATTTTTTTAGATTTTTCAGATTTTCCGGATTCTTCCAGATTTTTCCGCATCTCCAGCATGTTAGAATCGTTTAAAAAAACCACGCCGGCCACTCGAAAAAGGCGTCCCCCGGCCGTGGTCTAGTTTTCTCACTGTGCAGGAATTCAAATCCTCGTCCCTATTCGCCACTTTTTTCGACAAAATTTCAACTTTCAAGGGCTTATTCCAAAATAATATTAGGAATATACATAGCAATATTTTAATGAAAAAAAAAATTGAAAAAAATTGAGTCAGAGTCTGTTTCATACGCCTGTTTTATACCGTCCAAAAATTAATATTCAATTTGTATTCAAAAAAATCATAATTCAAAACTGAACACCAAATCTATACTTTCAAAAAACAATACTTTCAAAAAACACCTGTAATCTGAAAGCACTTTCAGTTATGACGGATTTGTGGGTCTATTTTAGGGGTTTTCTAGAATGCTAGACATCGAGATTACTGTACCTAAAAAACCAAAAATGAGACTACAACTGGTAATAATGGTGTGTGACCTGAACAAACATCTGTTTCTTTATCAATCATTTCCTGGTCTTCGAAACGTGAGACAAAAGAAACACAATAACATCTCAGAGATAGCACTAAACCACAATTTTTTTTTGGAAATGGGGTCTGAAGATCATAAGATGATAATAAAACAGGTTTACAAGTTCCTTATAATGTAAGTTCACCGAATTGTGAAGAGTACCTGAAAGGCACCGAAACTTGTGTCTCGACTTTTTCGAAGAATTTTTCTTCTTGGTTCCTATTTGACAGTCTTAACCAACGTGCAAAACTTGAAACGTTATCAGGAGATGATTGATTTAAAGATACTTCCTCTTTTTATGAGCTATCAAGCTACAAGAAGGCCATCCGAACCGTTCACTTTGAGCTCAATTATCTCGGTTCCTGTCAAAGATATGTTGTCAACTGACAAAATGTTGAGCATAATATCAAACATATTTTTGTTAGTTTATGACTTCTTTGTAACTTTCACATGAACCGAGTTATCTGGGCTCAAAGTTGACGGGTTCTCTATTTGTCACTACAGGGTCTCTCAAAGAAGGAAATACGAACTGCAAATCTAGTTATGACCTACAGTCTAAAAATTTGGAGGCCTGGAGCAAAAAAGTAAAATTTTTAATCTGATTTTGGGAAGATTTAATAACGTGAATGCTCTAATAGAAGCTCTGCTCTTTGAGTTGAAATATCTCGGTACCTATGAAAAATATCAGAAACGTGTCTACTGATAAAATGTTTATCAAAATATCACCTATATTTTATCAGTTGATCACTTTTTGATATATGTTACAGTAATCGAGATGATTGAGCTCAAAGTGCATGTTTAGAGTGAGTTTCTATTAAAAATGAAGTACTTGAAGTTCTATGGCTCAAACATACCGCAAAATCGCGGTTCTTCTGATTCATTGAACTCCTTGTAAAGTCTGAAATTGTGACATTTAAGCTAATAATTATCAGTATCTCAATTCCCATGCACGATATCAGGAATGTGTCCACTGATAAATCCCTTCTGATATTATGATAAACAATTTATCAGTTGACAACTATTTCATATCTTTGCCGTGAACCGAGAAAAACTGGCTTGAAATTGAAAGTTAGGGAGCCTTTCTATTACAGGTTTCAGGGTATAACAGGACACGCAGCAGACCACACCACCATATATGAAAAAATTCAAATCTCCACTGGACTGATTCTGCAATCATCATTCACTGACCCACGCCTTTTAAACCTGTTCCCCCGGTGCAACAAAGTACAGTAATCCGTTCCAACCCGTGCATATTTGTATATTTTTCTCTTGTCCATATCTTCTTCTGATTATCTGAGTTCAGCAGAGAAGGTTTATAGGATTACACCTTATTTTGTATTCAGAACCACATGTTTTGTTATTGGAAACTCTCTGAAACTTTTTTTAAACTGGAAGTTTGAGCAAGTTTACTAAAATTTCATCAACAAGGAAAAAAGACAACCGTATAAATATGTCAAAAGATTAAATGATATATAGTTAAGAAAAACCAGTAAGAACAATATTTCGGCACAACGGAAAGTTAAATCACAACTTTAAATAAGTTAGCTAGAAATGATAGCTTATTTACAAGTGAATCGTCGAAGAAGATCACATAGAAGATCTCTCATTCTTTGACCATCTACAGTTCTCACCAGATCACAGAGTCTGAAAAAAAGGAAAAAAAAAATATTAGTCAAAACTTTTTAACTCACTTTGACGGAAAATCGGGACCCAGTGTCGCCAGCATTTCGTTTGGAAGCTTGTTACACTCTGATAAAAGTTCACATACAACAGTTTCGTATGCTTCCCGATTAGTTCCTGACATCAATGTACTGTAACCCTCAAATGAGAGAGCAACCACTCTAAAAATCAAGACATTTTAAAATTTTGCTCTGAAAAGAGAACTCACTCGGTAACCCTTCTCGAAACTTCTCCTTTCAACTTGTCAGCACGAATATCATACAGTAAGCGGAGCACAATCGAGAGCATAGTACTCAGGGAGCGGGTTTCTAGCCTGAAATGTTTTTTTCCCAAAAAACAGAAATTTCGGAAAATCATACCTAATCAAAGAAGATCCATCATCAGTCGACTGCTTGGCCATTTTGTAGTTTTGAGCAAGAACATGACAAATTCTCAGGAGCGAATCTGGAGAAACATGAATGAATAACCCATCATCTGGTATGTTATTCTTTGGTCCCGAGACATTTTGATCTGCTCCCAAAGTGAAACGAGATATTGAATCCACCAGTTCGTAGCGAATCGCAGAAAACTCGGACGTGGTCGATGGAAGAATTATAAACAGATTTTCTATGAGATCGATGGTCTGTGTCCACATGGATTCCGTAAATCGTTCACCGTTTCGAGTTATCAGCCATTCGAAGCAACTGATTGCACATAGAGAAAGTTGTTCGTTGTCTGGAAAAGTTGAACTCAAACAATCATAGGATATTCTATGATTATACTGACGTTGCTGTAGAAAATCCGAAAACTGTTTGTAAATTCTGGGCAGCAGTTCCACGGATAACAGACTGAAGTGTTTGGTGAATACGTCCACAACTTTTGGCATCGCATGATTACAGGTAGTGGATATCCATTCTTGCTTCTGCAGAATCTACTTTAGATTGACAATAAAACATAATTCAATCTTACATCCTTATCATGAATTTCGATTTTCGTCGGATTAAAAATCTTGAATACAATATCAAACAGATCCTCCCACCATTCTGGTTTGAAGTCCCCACCGTGATGATCCATAACTTCGAACATCACTTTTAAACTTTGTTTGCGAACATCTGATCTGGATTCATTGATAATACTGCTTAATTTTAGAAATATCGGAAGCCATCCACGTAGCCAAATCTGCTGATCCGAAGACAGCCCTTTGAAAAAGTGACTATCTCGGTGAGGGTCTTCATCGATTCTGTGGCTGTTCTCAGAGACGAATCTGAAACTCAAGGAATCATTTTAAAGATACTTCATTTCTCCAACTAACCCTGCACAAATTCCAATCAACCTGATTGCTTCTGTATTTTTCCCCGGAAGATTTGGGTTACAAGCGAACTCTTCAAGGCATTTCAACACGTCTTGCAATGATTCCAGGATTGCTGAGAAATCATGTTTCAACCGATGCTCAGTGACAAAGCAAGTGGTTTGAAATGCATTTTTCACAATCTCCATTGACGGGTCTCCAGAAGAATGCGTCAAAACAGAGAAGATATTCTGCCATCCAGAGCGTAGGCACGATGAGTGGGCTTTGACCAAATAGGTGCAACATTGAACGACGAGATTTCTGACTTGAGCATTTTCATTTCGCAACATTATCACCTGAAAATTCGGCTTATTCAGCATAGCTTTTCTTTTTTGAAACTGACTTCAAATGGACGCAAAAATTCCTTTTGAAATTTGAAATTCGGAAGTTCTCCTTTCTCCAAAAACTTAATCGACAATTGTCTCAAAGCATCGATCGAATAGTATGCCACAGATTCATTTGGATTGCAACCAGCCGCATTGAAATGCTCTCCAATCACTGTCCAAATGCGTCCCCATTCGAAACGAATCCTGTTCATATTGTAGAATGCCACATCGACTACTTTCCCGAGCAAGAACATTCTTGGCGCATCTGGATGGGAGAGTTCTTCTCTGGACACTTGACAAAGGGCATCTACAAAATGGACGATGGCTTCTGCTGAGAGGCGAGAAGAGCTATTAAATATCCTATCGATTGCCACGACAACTTCTTGTGAGAAAGAGTCACCAAGAGATTCTCGAACGATTTCGAGCGTTTCTTCATCAATCTCACCAGTCGCTTTCATTACATCTGAAAATATACTTGAACTTTGAGCTCAATTATCTCGATTCCTGTAAAAGATGTCAAAAACTTGTCAACTAATGAAACGTTGGTGATACCCTGACAAATAATTTATCGGTTGACAAATTTGCGATATCTTTAACAGAAATCTAGATAATTAGGCTCAAAGATTATGGTCTGGATAGGATTTTATTAGAGGAAATACGGTAACTTCAAACATTTAAATCCGATTATAAGTTTTGGTCAGGAGTCCCCGTTTCATATTTAAAAAAATTAAACTCACAATGTAGACTGCTATCATCTTCATGGGACATGTTCGAATTCAACCCAGTCCCTATCAATTGTACCAATTCCAAATAACTCATACATCTCATAACATCAATCCAACTTTCTTCCAGATACTCTCCATCCTCATTTCCAATCAGAAGAAGCGTTTTGATTGCTTCCACATTTTTCTTCTTCATATCTCCAAGCGAACTTTTATGAGTGAGCAGTGTGAAATCAGTCAGTGCTTTAATGAACGCCTCCTTCTTCTTATTCTTCTCATTCACATTTTTCTCTCCAGTCTCTTTTTCAGTTCTATCTTGTAGAAAACACGAAGCTCGTACGCCCAACCGTAATCCTTTCAGACATATCGCACATTCTTCTTCGTCGTCGGACAGTTGCACTCCCATTGAAAAGGCTACCAAACAAGGTGCCCAACAGATTTCGAACATTGGTTTCACATGATGTTGATGTTGTGCAGGAGTGAAATGAGAGTCTGTGTCACAAGCAGATTCCATCAGTGACCTAAAAATAAATTTTGTGTTTTTTTGATGTACCAACTTGTTTGTCGCGCCTCCGGCGCTTCAAACAGCTGGCTAGTGCGCCTTGGGCGCGATTTAATCTAAATATTTTACTGGTCGATTTCTCTTTTTCGAAAAGTCACGTCAAGTTATGTTTACTTTTCAAGCTTTCAAATATTTATTTGTTTTTAAATTCACGTTACGCAATAAATCAATCATTAGGTCACGCCGCTTCCTTCTACTCACGTTTCTAGGTCATGACCTGATTTTTTCGGCTCTTTATGACAAGGGGGGGCCCATTTTTCAATTTTTTTTGCCCATGAGAAAAGGGGGGGGCATGAGAATAGGGGGGCCCAAGTCAAAGGGGGGGGGGGGGCCAATTGGAAAAATTATGCCTGAGTTGAGATTTACCGATTTTTTCAAGTTTTGTGACCGTTTCCATTACAATTTCCAACTTTGAACACTTTTCATAATTTTTTGAAAATTTCAGTTTATGTCATTTTTTGCATATTTTTTGTCTATTTTTTGTTACTGAGCCTGAAAAAATCTGAAACTAGCTGAATAACTTCAAATTACACAGTTACAATGGAAAATAAAGTGTTGTTCATGCAAAAAACCGGTCTAAATTGAAATTTTTCGAAGTGACAAATTTTTGTGGGAACATGCGCAAAGTACGAAATTTTTATAGAAACATTCGAAAAACTTAAAAAAATTGGTAAATCTCAACTTAGTCCACAGTTTTACCTATGGGCCCCTTTTGACGCCTTTTCTCATGCCCCCCCCCTTTTCTCATGGGCCCCCTTGTCATAAAGAGCCATTTTTTCTAGGTCATGACCCGATTTGTTTATGTCATACCTGATTTTTTCTAGGTCATCACCCAATTTTTCTAGGTCATGACCTAATTTTTCCAAGGTCATGACTAATTTTTTCAAGGTCATGACTAATTTTTTCTAGTTCATGACCCAATTACCCTAGGTCATGTAATTTTTTCTATTTTCTTCTAATTTCTATTTTGCTACCGGACCTATGATCCGCCCAAACTTTTTAATGCAATTTTCGCGATTTGTCGGTTTTCTGTGAAGAAAAAAAATAGTTCAAAATCGATGGAGTTTATCGAAAAGTTCAAAAAAGGGCAGAAAGTTATTACAAAAATACCTGTTTCTTTAAATGTGCCTTTAATGATTTCGCTTCCGGTTCTAAGCTCCACCCACTATCGAATTTTCGGCCGAAAAAATTCAATTCTGTACTTACCTAGCTGTCTGCGACATAGCTTCCATCTCTACTGCAGCCATTTTCCTTCTCTCCTCATCTGTAGCCAATGAACCTTGTCCTGGAGTCACTCGAGATCTTAGTAACGCAGTTGCCCCTGCTTTCATCTTGATTTCATTTTTTGAAATGTCATTGAAAATTGAAACCAAAAGCTCTTCAGGTATATTACCGCCATCATTGATTCCTCTGTTCATACTGATGTATCCTTCTTTTGTGATTTTATTTTTGATCGTTTTGTTGTGAAGATCAGTGGTGAGTAATATGATAGAGAACGCTAGAACATACGCAGCATCCGCGTTTGCGAAGATTTCTTGATTCGGATTACAATCCAAGTATCTGGAGGCAAACTTCAACATCAAACGGTCAATTTTTTGGGCTTCTCCTGGTAATCGAAACTTTTCCAAAAACAATCTTAGCGCTGGAAGAATTCCAATCGACGAGAAATCCAACATATCAATGTACGCGTTCATCACAGAACTATTGAACTCATCAGGATCTCCTAGATAATCTCCAACTTGCGTTTTATCCAAACGCTCCTCTTTCATCATAAACTGTGCCACGCCTTCTGCAGAATTCCCAATGAATCCGTTTTCTTGAAGGAATGTCAACCCTTTCTTTGGTTTTGTAGAGAATAACTGAATGCCTTGTTCCAGAAGATTCTTCTGTTGTTTCACTGATTCAAACTTTTCCAGCTCCGTCTTTTTTTGATTTCCAGAGTCCACGTCATCAACATCTGTACCACTGGTGATTTTTTGCACTTCACAGACTTGCCACCAATCCACCAGGCACTGAAGTATATTTGAAAGACATCCCAATCCCAATATCCTCATTTCGCTTTCTCTAAAAAGAATCAAAACTGCTTGACTTTTTTTAGAAATTTTGAAAAATTACCTAATTTTCTGTGCAGATGGTGTATAATCATTTCCAGTCAAAACTGTAGTCTTCGAGATTTCTTCTACGATTAGTTTGAAAAGATTTCCAGATGTTAGACCCAGATCGTAGTTCACATACATATCAACGACAGATTGTGGATTGGTGAGGATTTTTTCTGAATGAAAAAGATTTTAAAAGATGTACAGGGTGGAGCATAAATCACATTTCAAGCTTCTTATAAAAAGAAGACGCCAAGGGGCGCGCGTACTTTGAAGGCGCATATCTCGAAAACTAAAAATTCTGGATACATTTTGCCAACTAACAAAATGTGTTAAATTTAAAGATCTACATTTCTGTAGCTTGCAACATTTTGTTAAGTCTTGTAGTTTCTGAGATACAAGCACTGAAAGAGTTTGTATGTTTTAGCTTACGTGTGGCGCATAATTAGCCGGACTAAAGTTTGTACTAGCATAAAATTTGAGTGAATTGTTGTTTGAAATTCTCAGTAGCTTTGAATCAAATGTAAAATTATATTTCTACCAATTTTCGTGATTCCAAGATATTTATGTCTAAAGATTTACCCGTTTTTATCAGCCCGGGTAATTGGGCGCCATCTTGTAAATCTACTGTATTTTCTCTAAACGAAACCCACCCAAATCGTCAACTTTGAGCTCAATTATCTCAACTCCTACAAGAGATATCAAAGATTTGACAATTGACAAAACATTGATGATATTATAATAAATAATTTATCAGTTTTCAAAATTGCGATATTTCTCATAGGAACCGAGATAATTGAGGTCAAAGTGCACGCATGGGGTGTGCTTCTAATGGAGAAAATCTGGTATCGTCAACCTACCAATAGTTTTCATTACTATCCGTTTTTGGTCAAATGAATAAGCATCCAAGACTAGAATTGGGAGGATGATGTCCTTGAAAAATACTTCGATAGATGGCTTCAAATGCGCTTTGAACTTGTCTAAAAGTACCACAAAAAGATCACAGGATTTTTCGAAAACTTGAACATTCGGATTCAGTGTTGCATTTTGAGTCAACCCAATACATAATATTCTTTTGATAACAGTTATGCACGGTTCAGATGACTGGATTACGGTAGAATGATTCTCAAAAATCTCGTGAACAATTCCAAGAATCATCAATTTGAATCGAAGCTGCTGGTCGTTTGTTGTCTCATTTTCTTCGATTTGCGAGAGTATACAAAGCTCTTGGAATATCAAAAACACGTCTTCCTGATAGATATTTTGAAATAATGATTGGTCTTGGCTCTCGGATCTCGAAACACTTGTTCGGTGAATACCAGCTCGGTCACTTGTCTGGAATAATTTCAGATAGGAAATTTTGATGAAAAACCCCTCACCATCTCTTCAGCAGATGACACTAACATATCGACACTTCTTTAACAATTGTCTCATCATCTTTCAGGTTTCCAAATTGCTTTGACTTTTCGAACACACTGTTTACTCCCTGAAATATGAATTACTGTAAACTTCGAGCTCAATTATCTTAATTTCTATAAGAGATATCAAAAATGTGTCAACTGATAAAATGTAGCTAATATTATGGCAAACACTTTATCAGTTAACACATTTTTGATATGTCCCATGGAAATTGAAACACTTTTAACTTCGAGCCAATTTTTCTCGATACATCTCAAAGATATCAAAAAGTTGTCAACTGATAAATTGTTTATCATAATATCACCAACATTTTATCAATTAACAAAATTTAGTTATCTCTTATAGAAATTGAGATAATTGAGCTCAAAGTGCTAGTATAGGATGTCTTACTGTCCTACGTTTGCGGTATATATATATATATATATATATATATATATATATATATACTTTTTTTTGAAAAAATTACCATTTTAAGAGTAAACTCTGCTGATCTTGCTGCCGCTGATTTTATACCATTTTTGAGTGGAGGAGACGACAGAAAAATGTTGAAACACGTCCGAACGGCAAGAATCAGAGACTCTCCATGAACATGACAATGCTTCGATCCGACCATCTCCAGAATAGCTTGACTACAATTCACAGTCACCTTTTCATTGGATTCATGAGCCAAAGTTGTTGAGCAAATACTATGAGCAATCCGATCAATCAGTTTCCGGTCTGGGTTTGAAGTGTCCACTCTGTTACCAATCAGATAACCATGAGCAATTAGTTTTTGAATACATGCCAGTGAAGATGCCACAACTTTTGGACTCTTTGATTGACAAGCGATTTCCAGTGTGAAGAAATGTTGATCTGCTTCGAAAGAGGAGCTGGCTTCAGATAGATGATCGTCATGTGAGTTTAGTTCTTCTGAAAATTTAAAAATTCTAAAGGAGCATATCTCGAAAACTAAGACCATTGGGCAAATGGTGTTTATTGTAAAAATATGTTAAATTAAATTTCACATATTTTCGTAGTTTACAACTTTTGTCTAGCTACCGTAGTTTTTGGAGATATGCACTTTTAAAACGACTAGACGCAACTGAAGAAAACTTCAAAGCCCCATATCTAGAAAACTAAGAAAGCTAAAAAATACGATCAATTGTAATAATATGTAAAATTATACTTCATATATTTTTTAGTTGACAACTTTTGTCTGGCTACCGTAGTTTTTAAGATATGCGCCTTTAAAGGTAAAGGAGCGATTAGACACAAGAGTATGAAAACTTCGAAAGCGCATCTCTCAAAAACTAAAAGAACTAGAACATTAAGTAAATTGTGAAAATATGTAAAATTGAATTTCACATATTTTCGTAGTTTACAACTTTTGTCTAGCTACCTTAGTTTTTGAGATATGCGCCTTTAAACTTGGATGAACCACTAGACGCAAGAGGCGCAAAAAAATGTTTTTTTTGTAATGAAATTTTTTATTGGCTACTGTAATTTTTGAAATATTATAGACCAAAACTCACCCAAAGTGCACTCGCATGCTTTTTTCAATTGTGAATGGTCATGTTCGCTCCTTTTAATAATCCATCCAGACTCTTCTTCCTTCACATCTTTCAAAATTCTTTCAATTCCATCTTTTAGGAAAATTGCTCCAATCGATTTCTTTGTAGTTGTAGTTTTATTATTCATTTTGGCGCATTCTCTAGAAAAATTGATTGATCGAACGAGACAAACAATGAAGAAATCGGAAAAAAATTATAGAAGATAAAAAGTATATCAAATAATTCAAAGGAAACCCTAGAAATTATTTTCAAAAGTGCTTTAAAAAGTAAAAATCTTTCCCACTGGTAATTGTTATTTTCTTCTTTTCTATTATTACTTGATGGAAGAGAATGCGTCCCATGCGCGTCAGCCATGACGTTGTTGGACCGTGGTGTTTGCGGACTCCATATATGTTCAAAGGGTACCCATATATATGTTTCGCAAGAGAAGAATTAGTCAGAATTTCATTAAGAGCAATCTTATTTGTTAAAAAATTCTTATGCGAAATACCTTTTTTTGAAAGACATGTAAATCCAAACAATTTAAGAATCGATCTGAAAATCTGAAAATCTGAAAACCCGAATAACTGAATAACTGAAAATCTGAAAAGGATTTCAAATTCTCAAACAACCCAATCATAAACATCTGGAACAGTTCTATTTGGCAGAGATCATAAACATATTGACCTCAATATTTGTTTTTTCCAAATATTGATAATTTCGGGATGGGAAGGATGACAGCCGGATTCGAACAAATTCCAGGAAATCATGATCTGTGGATTTTACATGAAAATATTTTCAAATTCAGTAAAATCCCCACTGTGCTGATTTTGAAAATTTTTGACCAGTTTCAGGCCAGACGATTTTTTTTTAGATTTTTGGACTATTTTCGACGTTTCTGGGATCTCTTTTAACCTACTGTAGACTATTTGCAGGCAATGTTCGGACGATTTTCAGGCTATTTGGAATTGTTTTGGTTCATTTTGGACCACTTTTAGCCTATTTTTAATAAATTTCAAGCGATTTCAAGTTTTTTTTTTTCAGACGCCACGCTGTCCACTTTGAGCTGAATTACCTCGTTTCCCGGAAAAGATATGAGAAATTTGTCAACTGATAAATTGTTTATCATAATATCAGAATGGTTTTATCAATTGACAGATTTTTGATACCTTGCAAAGGAACCGAGCTAATTGAGCTCAAAGTGGACGGTATGCGTGGGCGTCTATTAGAGAAAAATACTGTATGTGAGATGATCCTGACAAAAACAGCTTCAGGTTTTCAATATTTTACGAGCGACTACAATGGCTTGAATTCTGATGACGCATATTCTTTTTCAGAATGCTCCCATTTCCCCCAAAGATCATTCCCACCCGATCATCCTAAACTCATTCTGCCCACTTTTTTTTTTCCGAATCCTCCAAAATTTGACACTAAACACTAAAAAACTGATCCAATTGATCGAAAGTGATAAAACAGATAACACGAGATGGATCAAAGTTTGCATTTGATGAAAACATCGACTCTTCAAGAAAATAGAAAGAGCAGCAGGTGTCAGGTTTAGGGGGTGAACAAACACAAATGGACGGATGCATTTTGCGGTGGAGACAATAGAAGAAGGGGCAAAGAAGACGCATTTTTGCTGTGTTGAGGTGTTCCTCGCCGAAATATATTCGATTTCAATCCGGAGGTGGGCAATTCCTGAAACATCTCATTCGGATTCTAAAATGAGATTATCTTTTCTATTCCTAACTATTCTTCCGATTTCATCTTATTCGTTTATTGTCGGTGGATGTATTGGGCCTAAATCAGTTTTGGAGAGGTTTCTAAATGATAAACAGAAAACTGAACTACGGAAAATTGTGCATAATAAATTTGATGGATCCAATTCAGAGCAGGTATTTTTTAAATGATAACTTACAGTACCGGTCCATAAGATATACAAAATCGTATATTTCTGTTGATTTTCGGAATTTTTGGCCATTTTCAGGAGTCTGGAGCTCGGCTATCAAGCTTCCGATCACTTTGAAAATTTTGGAGGGTGAAAAACAGACCTAGATTGAAAGCTTTGGATTCACTGAATTTTTTGAAAATTCCTAGTTTTTCAGCTACCGTAAAACCTGTATTAGAAGGGCCGGTCCTTATATTGTCCTTCTATTTCAAAGTACCTCTATTACAGCGGCCCTTCAATTAGAAGGGGCTCTCCTAGTTTTCCAGCCATTTTTCTACAATTTTTCATTGAAAAATTTGCTGAATTCTCGTTCAACATTCATAAAAATCTATTGGTTTCAACAAAATCTGAGAAAGTTTTTGAACGAATAAGATTTTCTCAACAAATTTCTAAAAAATTGTGGGGTTTTTGGAGATTTTTTCTCCGAAAATATTTGGAAATTTTTATATTCAAAGAGGATAAGAAGGCCCTTCTATTACAGGGGCCTTTCTATTTTTCCAAGACCATCTCAGAGGGCCATTGTATATGAGGGGCCCTTCTAATACAAGTTTTACGGTATTTGCCGGTTTCGGAAGAAGATCCTTTTTTAGCAAGTTTTTTGTACAAAGTTTTTTGTACGACAAGTTTTTTGTACGACCTAATGGTGTCTTTTGGAAATCGACAAAGTTTTTTGGCAAGTTTTTTGTATGACCTAATGGTGTCTTTTGGAAATCGACAATCAGAGGAATTTCCAAAAAACTCTGTGAATGCTAAGTTTTCAATCTAAGCCTGTTTTTACTCCCTCCAAAGTTTTCAAAGTGATCGGAAACTTGAAAGCCGAGTTCGAGACTCCTGAAAATGGCAAAAATGGCCGAAAATCAACTGAAAAATACGACCGGTACTGTACTTCTTGAATATCTGTTTTCCAGGTTCTCGAAGAATCAAACCGCTACGTTTATGGTCATGTCACAGAAGAACAATGGCATTCAATTGTCCCGGAGCTCGCAGAGTATCAAGCCAAGAAGCATGAATGCTCCATGTACGCCCAACTCCTGCCAAAACCTTTGTATCAACAACTATTGGTCTTTTTGATATCATTCTCATTAAAATTTAGAGCATTCACTTTTTTCAGAAGTCAGTCCTCCGTGCTTCTGAAATGGGCGCTTCAAAATACGACGTCAAGCGATTAGTAGATGATTATGTAGACCGATTAGCCAAGAATGGAGTACTTCCTGATGTTATGGACAAAATGCCTACGGTCTGCATCAGTATTCTAGGCATCATTTTGCTAATTTCTAATTTCAGTTGCCACGTGTCACACTGCCAGAATCTGAAATCGCATCTCAATCATATCGAAAGTACCCGAAAAAGCCAAAAACGAAACAGACAAATTCAAATAGAGGAATGGGCGCTGTGTAAGTTTTTTAGAAGATCTGAAAGTTATATAAAAGTGAGATTTCAGCCATCCAACACTGATTGGATATCCAGAAGGCCCGCGAAAACCCTCTCATAACAGGGAGAAAAACGGCAGGAACAACAATAACATGAATCATGGAAATATGGGAAATGGTCCAGTGATGGGCAGAAATAAGAATGGAGGAAGACAAGGAGGACATCCGGATTATATGGGACCTCCAATGTTCCCCATCGCGAAACCGTAAGGAAAAAAAATTATCAACTTTGAGCTCGATTATCTCGGTCCCTATATGAGTTATCATAAATTTGTCAACTGATAAATCATTTATCATAAAATTAGCAATATTTTATCAGTTAAAAATTTTTTAATATCTCTCACAGGAACCGTGATTATTGAGCTCAAAATCACAGCTCGCGCCTAACACAACCTGTCGTAAATGTTCTTCCAACTTTGAGCTGGATTATCTTGGTTACTATGAGAGATATAAAAAATTTGTCCACTAATAAAATATTCATCATTATATCACTAATAGTTTATTAGTTGACAAAATTTTGATACCTTTGACAGGAGCTAAGATAATTGAGCGCAAAGTCCGCGCCACAGCTAGCGCCTAACTGACGCACATAACCCTTCGTGAATCTCCAATTTCGAGCTCAATTATCTGGGTTCCTATGAAAAGATATAAATAATCTGTCAACAAGTAAAATGTTGGTGGTATCATGATGAATATTTTATCAGTTGACAAATTTTTGATATCTCTAACAGGAATAGAGATATTTGAGCTCAAGGTTGAGACCTTTTGAAGATCTGGTTATTTCAGAACTCCCTACGACTTATCAGAATACATGGAAATAGGTGGAAACAACGGTAGATCAAATCACAGAACACCACAAAATTTCCGAAGATATCCTGAACACGAATGTGATTATTATGCAGGTCCTTGTGCAACATCTTTTTGATTTTCGTTTCTGATTTTTTTCACAATTTCAAATTACGTGTAGCACATCGAGGGTGTCTCCTAATTCCGCCTTTTTCATGACTTTTATATTTATTGAAATGAACCAATATGAATACCCAAAGAACAAACAAAATCACAAATTACAAAGAATCAAAGAAATTCTATCAGCCACATCCTGTCCATTTGATTCATCAACTTGAAAATAAAAATTTGGTGAATCAGCGATTTGGGATAAGTCTCCATGATTTTTTCCAACTGCAACTGATATAATTTTGTATCTCTGTGCTCGCAAACTTCCGAGATATGCGGATGTTAGTGAAGGACTTTCATCGTTGCTGAAAATCAAAAATTAGACTATTACTCTGGCCTGATTTCAATGCGCGTTGAAAGCTTCAGGGTGGGCGGAGCATAGATCCGGTAGCAACATTCTTAAAGGAGCATGTAAAGAAGTATGTATTTTTGTAATTATTTCTGGTTTTTTTTCCATTATTTTTAATGTTTTTTGGCAATTTTCAGCGGTTTTGCGGATTTAAGAAAAGTTAAAAATCACCGAAATATTTTCCGAATTATTATTTTTTGGCATGTTTTTCAATTATTTTGTTCCCTATTTTTTATGATTTTTCAACAAAAAAGGATTTCAATACTGTACCTAAGCTCCCCACATTCGATTTTTCGGCGCATTGAATTTGACAAAGAAATTTCAATTTTTTCGCTTTTTTGAATTTTGAAAGGAAATTTTTCGGAAGTTTTTAAAAATTTTCTCTTTTTTTGAAAAAAAAATCGAATTTCCAGATGTCCAGATGTCTCATCTGAAAAATTTCAAAAGTTTTAAACTACACATTTCAAAAAAATTAGAACTCACTTTTCGGGGGAAAAGTGGGCGTGGCTTTCTACAAAATCAGAAAAAAAATGACGATCTGATTGTTTTTTTCTGGAAAATTCGAGACTTCACATACCAAACTTATAGACCAAAACAGACCAGTTTTAAAGGCCAAATTTTACGGATCAAACATTTCTCTAATATTTCTGTAATATTGTCTGTTCTAATTAACTTACTGATTGCCAACAACAATAATTACTCCTTGTGTATCATACATTGGGGGATCTCTGTAGTCTAACAGCCAGGAAAGTCCACTGAAAAGAAAAAACACTCAATTAGGATATAACCTTCTACCGTACTCTGCCACCGTTGGATTCCTATCAAGAATCGAATGCCTGTACAAATTATCAATATTATATTGAAGATCTGTTACATTTCTGAAATACAAACAATTTGAGAAACTCTACAAATACCGTAAATACTCTGATAAAAGGCCACCCTATACTTGCCCTTCGAGCCCATATATCTGGGCTCCTGTAACAGATATCAAAAAGTGATCAGCTAATAAAATATTGGTAATATTATGATAAACAATTTATCAGTTGACGGCGTTTTGCTATCTGTTACAGAAACCGAGATATAGGGGCTCAAATATAGGATGGCGTTCTGTTGAGACCCCGCAAATTCCGGGG